ATTAACTTATAAACTTTTTAATATATTTTTCTCTTTAATATATTTTTCTCTTACATAATTTATCTTATATTTATACATAGTAATCTTTTAGTATATGCAATTCTAATATAACAATTCTATGATGTATATGAACGTATCTTACAGAAAAATCATTAAAAAATATATTAAAAATTTAATTCCTTGCAAAAAATCTATTGGAAAACGAAAAGAAATTTATTTAATTAAGGTTTAAGGAGATCCTAAAACTGCTAATCGGAATGCATTATTTATATATCAGGTATATATATCATAACTTCGTTTATACATCGTATATTATTATTAATTGATACGATAACATCAAAATTGAATTAATTAATGATATTAATCAGACGTATAATGTACATATATAATTATACATAAATATAAAACTATCATACATATACATATATATATATAGGTAATTTAGAATAATCATTTGTCCTTAAAATTATATTTTTGAGTCGATTTTAAGATGATTTTTCCTCTATTAAATTTTTATCAGAAATTTAGTTTTTGATTTTTATAAGGGAAAACAGTTCGCGAATTACGGGTCGTGTACAGAAGATAGGCAGGAGTGGTGCAACTCACTTCGACGTGTGCGTGTTGTATACATATGTAATCAAATGTACCCAAATAAGAAGGGAGGTCGCGGATCCGACCACGAACCAGTCGTGAAAATTCGTAATTATTATTTATTACAGTCGTAATTATTATTTTTGCGAAAAATATCACCTCAGCCAGGAATCGTATCTGGATCTCCAGGCAGGCATTTTATCCTTTCGATCACAGAGGCATGTGATGATATTTATCACAATAATGTTATTTATAACAATAATTTAGAACAACACGTCACAATCCACTGACGCACACATATGTAGAAAAAGAAAAGAAATGCCAGAGATAGTTAAACAAATAATGTCGTTAAATCGTCTATGTAAGAACGACGAGATTTCTTTTTTATTACAATGCAAATATTAAAAAATTTTATATAATATTTCATAGATGCAATAAAAAATATGTTTTTGAAAATAAATGTAATTAATTAAAATTATCAGGAGACACGGTAGTGTCTCGGGTGTCAACCGAGAACACTGTCGTGTGACTTTACGCGAGTCAGCGAGATGCGAGCATCCGAAATTATCGGATCTCAACAAAGGCTAAACCGATCAAGTTCTAAGTAGGCTTGAGTTCGAAATAATAAAAGCTTGCATAATAAAAGTATTTTTATTTTTCTGCTATGTGCCCTACGAGCGGAGATATTACTACGCAAAGTCCGATTTGGAAATTTTTAAGAACGTCATTATTATCGTCGTCGCCCATGTACAATGAGGAGCATAAATGAAGTCTTTTTTCGGTGAAGCTAAGAGTAGATGAGCAAGTCATCCATGGATTGTCATTGCACTTACTTTCCGAGGATCAGTGAAAGAACGCACCTCAATTTCTGCATACCCTAACAGCGCGCGTACGTTCTAAGTATGTTCTAAGTATGTTCTGAGAAGATCGCAATGAGTATATCGTGATCATCTCAGAATATTCTCATACGTACTGCGATCGACTAAGTACGTTTTAAGGGTATCACACGCGAACTTTACAATAATGGATTCGGAGGAATGGCTGCGTATCGAAAATAGCGTCCGCAATTCAGATCAGATTTTCGATACGCGCAATACGCTCCAGGGACGGCACCCTGAGCGTAGGTCAAACATGACGGTCGAAAAAAGAGGACCAATAAGAAAACGCGATTGTCGGCATTTGTTCAAATAAAAGGATGACACCATTCTTCAAATATAGAACTCTACGTGTCCATATCGTCTGTCTTTATCACTCTACGGAAGAGAATCACAAAATTGTGCACATTACCCACGCGAATAAGGTCACAGCTAAAATGCGACTATATGATCACTCGTAGGCCGCGGTCCGATTCATGCTCAAAACATTTTTTATCTTTAGCCTATTCTATCTTTATTGTTCATTAGATGTAAAACAAGGCTAGAATGACGCCAATAGTGCTTTGAGCGTGAATCGGACCGCGGCCCATATCAGACTAACGGTTGCCCGGCTATGGTTGCCGATCAGTGTTGCTATCAGGGACGCTTTCTCGCGCATGTATATTTAGATGCAGGTTTAATGAAGTATCACGTTTAGAAGAAAAAAGGTATTACTCTTTTACTGAAATTTTTTATATTATATAAAATTGTTTATAATTATATAAAATTATAAAAATTACATAAAAATTATTTAATTATATAGAATTTTAAATATAATTAATATTAATAACTTACAATAAAATTAATTTTTTAACAAAGTTATATTTTTGTAAATGTAAAGAAAGAAAGTATATAATAAAACACATTTATGTGTTTAAAATAAAATATTTTATTTGAAAATTACGAACATGCTTTTTAATAGCCCCTTTTTGGTTATGTATATCTATATTATATTTATGTTGAATAACAAATAATAAATAATAAATAATAACATTTACCTTTAATAACAATTAATAATATTTAAATATTTACTTTACTTTACTTATCTCATCCTAGCGTGGAGCACACCAAAATTTTAATTACCTATTACATATATCATGTAATAGTATATATCATGTTACAGCCCTAGATATGATTATTGATCATAATACGCATGCGCAAAAAAGCGGCCCTAATAGCAACATTGTTGCCGGTTGACGATTCTACTATTGCCAATCACATTGATCATAACTAGGACTTGCTACATTGTGATTGGCTGAAATAGAATCGTCAACCGGCAACCGTAGCCGCACAACCGCTCTGATATGGCCTTTAGACCCGGTTGCACCAATATTATTTGGGCTTTAAACGAGACTTAATTTACTTAATATACGTGATACATATTATATATTAAATACCACTTAAAATTCAAAATAACGTTGGTGCAATCGAGCCTTAGAGGCTTCTCTGTAGTTTCGGTCGAAAAAGGCCAGGATCCCCGCTCTCTCAGGTTTCTCTTTTCTGATATAATAACATGAAATATTAGCCTTATACTATGGAGTCTACCGATAAAAAGTAATTATTATTCAATAGAAATATATTATCTAAAATGTATATATCCTTAATATTAATCTACAATTTTTTTCTAGAAACATTCGTACGGAGGAAAATATTCGCGAGATTTTGGATTTAGCCACAATTAAAGAATCCAATTTGAATGCAATGACACAATGCTTATATCCCATGCGATGTCATCAGGCTGATGATTTGATATTATTAGAGATAGACGAGCATATATTCGGAGCATTAAGCAAGGAAGATACGTATGTTCCTTTAAGATTACATTTATGATCATCATTTGATAGATTGTTGAAACTTTTTTTGAATAATAATATTGCATTTCCTATTCTGCAAAAGTAATTATGATTATAATAATAGAATATCATTTCGTGGTAACAAGCATAACAATGCTATGCTATGCACACAAACTCGGACCTATGAAATTAAAGAGGCAGAGATATCCAATTCATGGTTGTTGATTCCAAATTTGAAATTTGGAAAGACAACAAGTACTGAAGAAGTATCTGAGAGAGTTATAGAGAGATGTAATATAAAGAAGATATTTAATTCATACTATGAGGTATCTTTATTCAATAACAATGACTTGAATGAAGATGTTAAGTCATAAGAAGTATTATAATGTATTATATTAAAGGTGAAAGAAATCAAACCTGATCTGACAAATTTGTCCACTCTGCTTAGCTTATCGTCTTACAATGGATTAGAATATGAATCGACAATAGATACGAAGACATTATACAATTGGGAAAGATTACAAAATGAATTCCAAGCAAGTAATTATGAATTACAACAAGCCCTAGAGAATTTCTTGATAACTAATATAGATGGTACATAATAAAATTATATTACTAGAAATTGTATCAGATCTTTTATAGAAATGATATCATCTAACTTAAGATCTTTTCATATTAAGGTTACTTGCGTCTAATATCATTTGATGTCGAAGCAAGAAGTCTGAATTTGATGTTGGATTATTTTGGAGAACAATCCTGGGAACTTGATGAGGTAAATAAAGAGGATACGTACAAATGTTTACAACAACTTATTCATGAGCCAGTGTTTGATGCTATATTCACAAAATATACAGCCAAAAGCACGAAGACAAAGAATAATGGTAGTCCATTGTATATGTATGTATATTATTAATATATTTTATAATTATCAACTTTATAATTATCAACGGGCAATTTTATAAATTTATCCTTTAAACATCTTGAAAAGATACGATGAAGAAAAGTGTTGTTCAACATTAGCAAAGATTCTTCTCTCTGCCTCTCCTGTCACTGAATACAAAGAATTCATGGAAGCATGGAATATTGGAACTCCCGAAAGTATGTGGTCGATAAACTTAGAATTGTAATTATGTATGATTAGTTTTATCTGGAATTTATTATTATTGTTCTGTATTTCAGAAATGCATCCGAAAATAGAATATTTATGTGGATTAGCCCTTGTTATATATAATACTTCAAAAATGCAGAAGGAAATTGTATCTTGTCCAGAGACAGATTTACCTAACAATATCCATGATAGACTTAATGAACTTTTTAAAATCAAAGCTAAATGGACTGCCGAAGAGATAACACCTTATATTAAGTAAGTATATTAAATAAAAAAAAATGTAATATAGAGTGTGGTATACTCATAATCTTTTCGTGCAATTATCTCCCAAATTATTTATTATTTGAAAATGTTTCAAAACCTATTTTGTTTTGAAGAGAACATTTTACGATTTTTTTTTAAGTGTCCCTAAGATTTCAAGGTAATCTTTATTTTTTTAATAGAATTATTTAATAGAATATTTTTTATAATCTGATTTAATGAGTTATCAGATATAAAAGTATTAAGTTATAACTACCAAAAAATTAATAAAAGATTATGATATTTATAAATTATTGTGATATATTCTAATAAAATATAAGAGAGTAGATATTTATAGATATAGTAGATATTAAAATATAAGAGAGCTGATATTTAGATTCACATTTCGAAATAAAGCAATGTCTACTGTCTCTTCATCATTGGAGGATCAGGAAGTTACCGATTATTATGTCTCAGGAACGTCTTCGTATGAGAAATATGATATTTCTCGTCTCAAACTGTCATTTTTTAAATATCTTCTTTAATATCTAAAATCTAAATTCTTCTTAAATATCTAAATTATTTTTCTTTTTATAAATATGAAAACATTAAATTTCTTATTATTAATAAACTGTACGCGTGCGCGCGTGCGTGCTTAATTTTTTTAAAGCAATTATGTATCTTTTTTATATCAATTGATTATCTCACTATTCTATGCATAAACATATAAAGGTACAATTATCAAAAAATGAATAGTTTACGAAATATTTTATATCAAATTATGCCAAAATAAGATATTTCGTAAAGTATGTTGATTTTTCGATACCTGTATCTTAATACTTTTATGCAGAATAATTAGAAAAATCATATTATAAAAAAGTCAAATCTATTCCAATTCAAAAAGTGAATGCGACTCCTATGTGACTTTGAAAAATTGATTTTTGTTTTTAAGGCTCTTGAGTATCGTGACTATTGGAATCGTGATGTTATAGGCGAAAAATTATACAATAAAGTTTATTGTGCTAGTTTTGCAAATAAATATTTGATTAAAATAACACCTAATATGACATTAAGACAAAAATGGGTGCTATCCTTTTTCTTCCCGATAGTCAATAAATAGCTGTAAAAAAAAGGCATGTGAAATGAAACATGTTCAGATAGAAAACACACGATTTGACAGCTATTGAAAGAAGTAGAAAAAATGCTTTCACATATAATGTCCAAAGATAATTTTAACTGCCGTCCATTTTTACGAATCTGATAAGTACGAAATAAGTCACATGTGGATTAAGCATATAATAATGAAAATAGCCGCAATAAAAAATTTCTTTATCCGTATGTCATTTATATAAAGATGAATAAGGATGAATGAGTTTCTATTTTTTATCACGACGGTACGTCGCTACCATCAACGCAAAGTTCTTCAAATTATACATCTTTTGTTTGAAATGTTTTTTACCTATCGGGTTTACTTTTCGAAATATTCCGGTAATTTGTGCCCCACTCTGTGTACACACACACACACACACATCAGATGTGTAATTCGATAAAAAAATTTTTAAATACTATATTCTATATATTTTAAAACTAATACTTAAACTTGATCATTTTCATCATTAATTAATAGTGAAAAAGGCTTATTGAGTAAAACAAAAAAACATCAATACTTTACGAGTAATGGAAAGCTATCATAACTATATTATTATAAAATATGTATTAAAGTTATATGTATTAAATATGTATTAAAGTTTTAATGTTTTAATTATTTAGAAAAATTAATAAAGAAAATATTTAAATTGAAAATATTTAAATTGGCCATTTGGAACAAAAGATACGACAGTAGATATTTTTCATACGAGAACGATCTTGAGCCGGCGATCGGCAGCTTGCTCACTGACTCTCAAGGTAAGACAATAAACGTTGCTTTAGAAATCAATCCGAAATCTGTAATTAAATTCCAGTTCTGAAATATAAAATATTTTGTGAATTTTATTATTCATTTTTTGACAAATGTATCTTAATAAATCCTTTATACAAAATAATAAAATAATTAGAGTTCATGTAAAGATATAGTTGCTTAAGATGTAACTGCTTTAAAAAGAATTATGCAATTATGCAATTGGCAATATATAAGTACATACTTTTTCTACAACTCTTACAACAACTATATGCTTTTTCTATATCAGTCGATTTATTTCATTATCTTGTGTAGAGAAGTATTAAGATACGATTCATCAAAAAATGAATATTTTATATGAAATATTTTATATTTTATGGCAAAATATGTCAGAATAAAGTATAAAAAAATATCTTATAATCTATTTTTTATAACTCTGCCTTAATACTTTTATGTCTAAGATAACTAAAGAAATCAGATTACATAACAAAGCTATATGATTCTAAAAAAAAAAAGAGAAAAGAAAAAAACTTACGATGCTTTTTTTAAAATCTTAGGAATTTATATCTCTACTTAAATTTTTCTCTTTCAGAGATGTCCCCTTCAAAACAGAATAAGTTTTACTTGAAATATTTTCTCGAATAATAAATAGTTCAGCAGATAATCGCGTAAAATAATTAATTGGACATACTTCATTCTGAATATGTGTATATATCGTTATTAATTTAAATCTTATACAATTTTTCTTATACAATCTTATACAATTTTTTAGGCATTTCACAAAAGGTGCAATGAATGTTAATGCACTTTTAACAAAGTATGCCAGATATTCCACAAAAAACGGAATAAAGTATTACGGATCAAAATATGACAAGTGATATAATGACTATATTTGTGGTATACATTCAATTACAGTAAATACTGACATAAGTGTTACAGAAGAATATTTCAGAATAATATATATAATGTTAAAATTATACGCGCAATTTTATTTATTTTGTGATCATCATATATATCGTCATATATAGTTACATTTGCACAATTTATAAATAGTTTTGATATCAAATGAGATTACATATAATTGTTTCATATATTATTTCACTGATATAATATTACCAATAATATATTGTTATCATTTGTCCATCAAGAGATAATAAATGTTTAGATTAAATAATAATTAATTTTATTGATCACAAATAGCTCTGTGTTACATCATTGATTACAAAATTTCATTATAAAAACATTTTATTAAATTAATTTTTTAAAAAATATTTTCAACAATAAAGAATTTTTAATTTAATGTTCGCAATAAAAGTAATGAAAGACTTGTAAAGAAATATATTACATTATAATGGCCAAATATTTAATTAATAATGTCCTTTTTATATTTAAGTAAAATTATATCATATATACTCTTACATATTTAAATTAAAAATGTACCTGATGATTTTTTCATATAAATGAAAAAATATCAACAATTATATTCATTATCTCTTAGTTTCTGGATAGCAATTCTTCGACAAGAAACTTACAACACACAAATATCATATTTCTTTCGAGCGTATAAGCACATCTTGGCACATGAATTTTTAAAGCCACGTACCATTTAAAATATTAAATTTACAACTTGTAAACTATAAATATTTTACATTCGTGCCAATTGTAACAATATATGGATACATTAATACAATATCAGAATGCTACGATTTCTCATATCGAATTTTCTTTGAAATACAAAAAACACATAAAAATGGAATATTTTTTTTATCTACAAAGTTCAATAATGAATTTTTTTTAAATGCATATATGAATATAATACTATAACTTGCATTAATGAGTTATTATAATGATATACTTATGTAAAAGTGGAAATTCTTAAAAATATTCTGTAGGAACTGACACTTGTCGCTGAAAAATGATTTTTGCTCTTTATAAAACATTTTATATATAAATGTCGCAAACTATAAAGTATAAATCATTAAATAATTATTTAATAGAAATAACATACATTTAGTCTCTCTTTTTATATTATAATTATTCTCCATAGTATTCTTAGATAGGAATTAGATTATAAAATTACGAATTTGTATTAAAAACAACTGAGTCAGAGATTAGTCCTACAAAGAAATAAAATTCTCGCGCAATATTGATCAAAGAGAAAGAATTCATTTAAATATATATTTATGAATATATACATACATACCCCTAAAATACATGTATGTATGTATGTATTATCGTTAATTAGGAGATGACGTAGTTAAAATTGAATGAATATTTCAAGCGTGAATTTAACTTGCGATGTTGGATGTAAACGTTAGACGGTGTGAATAAATTTGATTTTCTAATGAAATGTTTAATTTAATAAATGGTATATTCTTATCTTTATGGCAAAATATAATTTTACGTCATCTCATATGCGCAATCATATAGTAACGATCATTCTAAATCCTTTGGAGTTGTGATTTTATTATAGCTGTGACTTAAATACTTTAGTGATAAACTTCCTATTCTACTATTACAATTAATGAATACTGTCCTATATAGAAGTATGTTTAGATAAAATGTTTGCATGAAATGTTAAAAAGAGCTAAAAAAGCATAAATACTAGATCTCCCGTTGTTAACATATTGAAGTGTAGATGTGTACACACGGATAACTTGGTAATATATCGCCTATTTATATACACACTAAGTAATGATCCGAAGTAGTCCTGAAATCGATACATTTCAAAAATGATAATCTCATTTGAATATTTTGTTTATACAAAATGCATTTCATAATTATTTACCTTAATTCAAGGCACCTCGTTGTTAACTGTCATTTATCGAAGTCTCATTTGTTGCTTTACTGTTGGCCGTAAACACCATCTGCTGATTAACGCCTGTTGTAATCGATTGACTCGGATGTATAACGGGACTTACAGTTTGCACCAAATTGCAAGTGACTGGTACCATAGGCATCAAATTAACAGAGTTATTCGTAGGCCCTATATTACATGTTAATGAAGGTCTCTTTCTTTCTAGACTATTAGTGGCAATTTGTTTTCTTGTTGTTGAATTACGTTCAAGACTGTTAGTTACTATATTATGTCTTCTTTCTAAACTACTGCTGGAATTGAAGTCGGACTGATTTCCCTGAATAATAATAATGGATACATCAATCATATTTCTTTCACCTAATATTATTAATTTTAAGAAATTATATGTTATTAAAATATTTAACTTACCGATGAACATTGGTCGACTGACTGACCCATTCTGTGCAATAAATCACCGCTTTGACTTTGTCTAAAGTTCGTTCCTTGTCGTTCGGTCGACTGACTTCTTCTCAGAAAATGATCGCCCGATTGACTCGAACGAATGCGATTCTCGGCTGTAGAATCTTGTGTTCTGTTAACATCATTTTGCTTTTGACAAATCTGACTGTCCACGTATGGATAACGAATACGGATGGAATCAATTACATCTAAGAGATTCTTTGCATCCATTGCTAAGATATGAGCTGCAGAAAGCATTCCCCTAGAAAGAAAATAATCGAAAATATTAATCAATTACGTAATTTTTCTCGTGGTATTCTGTTGATAATTGCAAAGCATAATTACTTCCGATATTCAGCATCTAAAGTAGTGGCACTATAATTTTGTGCCAGTTTCATAGCAGTCACAAGCTCCGCCATATCTTTACTTAATACTTTATGCGCCATTTCTACTTCACGATGCGCAGATATTGGTAATATTTCTACAAGAGCATCCACGGAGGATAGCAACGCTCTTAATTCGATACCTACTCTACGTACTAATTCTAAATACTGATCAGCCTTGCTCTGTTGAACACCTGAAATTCACATTTTTCTTTTCTGATATGACGATATTTTATATCATATAACTTTTCAACAATCCTAGTTATATTATTTATATATTATATTATAGTTATATTATTAACTGTTATGTATTACTGTTATATATTATTTTTCAAGCATATATTGCTTTTCAAGTATATTCTTACCTTGCGATAGTGACATAACTGCACGAACAACGCTTGTCGTACAATCATATACTTTATCATTAGTTCTGTCTAAATCTGCAGTGGGTGTGGGTTCCATTTTCTGCAAAAGGAATTTATGAATATTTCTGTCCGCGATAGATAATTTACAATGATAAAATCATGAATTCAGCGCATGATTCACCTTTACTACAATTATTTTATCGGAACTCTTGTCGGAACCAAGAGAGCCAATATTAGTAGAATGCGGTTCATGACTTGGTGATTGAGTAACTGATCGTGGAATCGGGGGACTAGCACTTTCATCACCACTCGTAGCAATTGATAAACGTTTCTATCATAAAAAAAACAAAGTTTAAATAATTACAATTAACAATTAAGTTTTTAAAACATACCTCTTCCCTTGCGAGCCAGCGACTGTCCTCTTCAGACTGTCGTTGTTGCTCCAACAATCGTTGCTCCAGTAATTTTTGTTCATCGTCAATGCCGCTATTGAAATTATCCGACAAATTATCGAACAATTGTGAATGCATGTTCCTCTAAAACAGCGAAAATGATATCACGCTATAAATACTTCCCGATATATAAGTTTTCTTCTAATGTAATAAAATTTGAGATAATTTTATAATGATTTATGTTGCAATCGTTTCTAATATACATGTATATACAGGAAAAATTAAAGAGACGCATATTTCTCGAGATGTAAAATAAATTGAAAATAGGTAGTGCATTTGCATATTCGGTACATGCAGTTTAAATGATTACTGTGACAATCCATCAGTGATACTCATTCGTCATGCAAAAATTATTAGCCTACTGAATAACAAGTCAAGATTTGCATTAAAAAAATAAATTTTTGTGATCGCATTGCAATAAAGTTGATCCGTTTGTGAGTCAATCCTCCTTAGTTTGCATATATCAGAGAAGCGCGAAAATATACACGTGCGCACATCTAATTTGTAACTAAAATAATATATTGCGAAAGTATTGCAGACCAGGTAAAAAACCAAAACAAGACGTGGCGTGACAAATATATATATATATAGAAGATGCATTTGTCACATTCCTAGGAGGCATGGTCAAACCTGATCTTGTTGTGCCTCCTCTGTCATCGAACTGCTAGACGACACGGTGCTATCACTGACAGCGGAAGAAATTAGAGAACCGGAAAGAGTGCCGTCGGTCGAGCTCGTCAATTGTTCATCCTGTTTTTGCGATGTCATGAATGTTGTGATCTTGGCCATGCTCGTCGTAATTTGTGGTATATTTGTCTTTACAATGCTACTAGTCATCTGAGATTGCGCTATTTGCTGATACGCACCGGTCGTCATTGCATGCACACTGCTTGTCATTACACTGCCGACGTTAATGTGCGCTTGGGTATAATCTATTAGACCAAGGGAACTCGGTTGCTGATGATTTACTAAGTAAGTGGATGGAATCGGGTGGATATTTTGTTGAGTCGCCGAGGATGACATGACAAAATGTGACGGTACGGAAGAAGCTTGCATTATCCCAACACTTGCCGATTGATTTATACCGGTTGCTTGACAAGGCGTTGATTGAATGCTAATTCCAGACTGAACTTGATGAGCGTAATTTGGCATGTGCACCTTTTGCGCTTGAACCACTGACACGGATGTAGCGTGAGCTGTGTAAACAGGACTGGTACTGGTAAACTGAGATTGCTGATTCGTATGTTGTATCGCTGCATATGACAAGGACTGGGAAATGGCATTCTGCCGCGGGGTATTCTGCATGCGCTGCATTTGTAACAGATACGTAGGCTGCTGTCCCGATTGTGCGATATTCGAATAGATTTGCTGATGTGAATAATTCTGCGGATATATTGGTTGCGATTGTAAATTCTGTGCTACCAGATTACTTCTTCCGGTTTGAACGTAATTTCCAGTTGTTACACCAATAGGTTTCAATTCAGTTGTAGCCGCGCTTGCGGCTACGACCAACTGCGGTTGAGCATTTTGCGCATGGAATTTTAATACCGGACCATATAAACATTCTGCATTCAACACAGAACTACTTACATTCGCCGAGCTAATATTACGAGCGTAAACGCTAATATTACCATCACCATCACCATCACCACCATCTTTATCACCACCACTACCATCATCATTATTATCATTATCACCATTATCATCATCACCACCACTACCATCACCACCACCACTATTATTACTACCATCAGCACCATCGCCGCCGCCGCTGCCACTATTGTTGCCAGCAATCTGTATATTGTTCATATTCTGACTTGTAGATTGATCGCTACCACTACTAAGTACCTGGCTCATGTTGCTACTAACTGCAAAATTACCGTAATTAATCGGTTGGCTTGAAACATACGAGCCACTTGCGACGAGTGCTTGGCTATAACTATTCGGTATCATGATATTGTCACCCAAACTACTAGGATCAAAGTTCCCGGAATTATCACCATGATTATCAATACCTAAACTTGCGCTTTGACTGAGATTACCAACGATAGCCGAGCTTTGGGTGAAGCTAGTGACCGGTCCGTATATCTCGCCGCAGGTGTTGGCCGCGACCGCGGTTGACACGACTGATGTAGCCATAGGTGGCGGCGGAACGGTGCTGGACATAGAGAACTTTTGCACAGGGGAGTACAAGTCTCCCATGATACTACCGACCACTTTTGAACTAACCGCATACAAGTTTTGCATCTCTTTAACCTTCTGCTGCTTTCGGTTGGCGGCGGGCGATTGTGTCTGCACTATTGTGTCTGAAATACTCAGACTCGACATGAGAGGTATGTTATCCGAGGAATCAAGGGAATCTAGGTTGGTGTCGAAAATGTTGGAATCACCATCCGACTGAGTGATGTGCGTTGCGATGGATGTCGGTTCGGAAAGTGCGGGGTCGAAGAAAGGCAGGTCGGATACGACGGCAGTAGTTAGGACTTGATCCTCGTCCTGAAACTGCACCGCTAGGGTGTTGAAAGGAGACGCGGGTGTTGTGTACACGGAGGGACATACCCCTCTGGCTTGGTTGTCCTTGAGAAGTTGCGCGAGCACCTCGGGACTCTGTGCTACGATGTACGTGGATACCGGCGCCGCGGATAACTGCGACTGCTCTGTTGTATTTTGCGGTTGCCGGGAAGGTTTTGGTGGCGGTACATCGTCTGCACCTAGAAAACAAATTATTTTATAAATACTGAATAACAAATGTGCGTTTCATTAAAAAAATTTGACACATTATTATTATAGACAGCTTCCTACATACCCCAGGACATAGCTTGTACCCTTCTGTTCTCTCGTCTCATTGTTTCTTGTTGTTGATGTTTCTCTTCTAACAAAATCTCACTATAATGATTTAAAACATAATATGTATATACACATATACTAAATTCTGAATATTATACAATATAATTGAAAAAAAGGAAAGAATATTTGAAGAGTTTCACGGACATTTAAAATACACTTACTGTAAAGTTTCTCTAATCTCTTTAAATGTCGGCCTTTTACTGGGTTCGTAACTCCAACACTGAGACATTAGAGAGTATAATCGCGGTGGACAGTGATTAGGAAGTGCAAGTCTCTCTCCGTTCTCTAGCTTGCGTATCACTTCATTATTTTTCACACCTTGGAATGGTTTTACACCTAACATTAAAATCTCCCACATACACACACCTGAAGCAACGATAAAATTTGATTAGCAAGTCTTTAAGATAAGAGAAATTTTCATTAAGTGATTAATTTTAAAAAGAAGAAACTAACCAAACATCCAAACATCGGATGAAGTCGTAAATCTCCGAAAATTTATGCTTTCCGGTGCCATCCATTTAATTGGCAACTTACACTTACTCGCAGTATAATAACTCTGATCTTCTACCCATCTACTAAGACCAAAATCCGCCAATTTGACACAGCTATGTGATGAAACCAGCACGTTTCTCGCAGCGATATCTCTATAATGTATAATATATGAGAATATTGCGAACGTTATATGATATTTAAATAACAAAATAAATAGCTTGTTAATAAATACCTGTGCACGAATTTCTTGCTTTCGAGGTATGAAAGGGCAGTACTCAATTGAAAGATATACAATAAAAGTGTGGCAAGATCTAAACGATGTTTATTAGACTGTAGGTAAGCACGCATTTCTCCGAGTCTAGCTAATTCCATTACAAGCCAAATTGGCGCCTCCGAACAAACTCCAATCAATCTAATAATGTGCGGATGTTCAAATTGTTGCATAATATCTGAAAATTGAAATCATTATTTTGTAAGATTTATTTCAAAAACCTATACCATTAAGTATCTATTTTATTAATATTTTATTATAATCATATATTAGAACAAATATAGGATATATTTTTCGTACAAGCTTCTTCAAGGAATTTCTCGGCAGTGGCAAGATCTGCATCGACTTTGCAGGTTTTAACAGCAACAGCGATGGTTTGTCCATCTCTTCCCTTATATGATCCCTTATGAACGTTACCAAATTGACCTTCCCCTATGATTTCACCTAATTCTACTTGATTTCGGACTATCTCGTAATCACGAGCTGCAAAGAAAATTTATCTCTTAATTTAAACTTCTCTCACTTATTAAATAACATATAGAACTTCTGAAATTCTTGCATATAGAGTACAAAACATAATTTTTTATGCTGTTAAAAGGAACAATTTTCTTTTAGTAAAATTATGTTGGACAGTGATTTTTGCAAGAGAACAAATTAAAGTTAATGAATGGGCACTCTTATCTATCAGCGCATGTTTCTCATTTACTTATATCTATTGGTTTGATCTTTTTTCGTATTGTTTTGCTTAAAATATGATAAAAGTTAATAAAGCATATTATATATTTTTTATTTGCCTTTTTTCGGGATATAAAACAATTCCCTTACAATAAATATTACATGTAATATTCTATTTATATTCAATATTTCCTCCCTCCCCCGCTCATGTTATCCTTCAGTATTTTCTTCATTGTCTCTCTACTAATCATTCCCCAATCTATATACTTTTCTAATACATGATTCCATGACTCTTCCTCCCATCCATAGAATTTATATTTTCTTTTTTCCTTCTCTTCCCAATACTTTCCTGCCATCATTCTATTTCCTATTCTAAACCTTGCCATTCTATACCTTGTCTATTCTCTCATTTTCCTTTTCAAATACCTGAGTAAGTTTAACTTTATCAAATCCTTGTACTATCCGGATCTTCTTATTTTCTCATATCTTTCCTATCTTTGTTCTTTTCTGTTTCTTCCTTCTATCCTTTCTCTAATACTTTCTCCTCTTTCTCTTATTCCTAATATCGATAATCCTCTTTTTTCATAAAACCTCTTCCTATGTTCTTCCCATTCCGATTCCTTTCTCATCTCTCTCTTCTTTATCTCTTTCTAGCATATTTGAGCCAACTCTCTTCTTCTTTCGTCTTTTTCTTCATACTTGACTGCCATTTTACTCATCTTTTAGAGTCATTTTATTTTAGAATCATTTTATTTCTCTTTTCTTCTTCCCTTACAATATATCCTAGGGTGAAAGTGTGTGCTAATGATAGTACAACTAAACATCAATCGCTAACATAAAGTTAATAAAATAAATATTATTTTTATTCCTTACGTAATAAATAAATGAAAAAGTTGTCTGATTCTATAGCATCATGTGAAAATAGAGACAATTGTGAATGATAATATCTTTTATAAATTGAACGTTTTTTTAAAAAAAATTATTCTTCATATTAATATTATTGCACAATTGCTTATAACAATTAAATAATATCATTAAATGTAAAGAAATTGTTTACGGGTGTACATAACTTAAATACCGAAAAATTGATCTATTTCGTAACGATTAAAGATAATGTAAAATATTTAAGTTAAGATGAAGCGATAACTTTGCAAATTGATTTTTTTATTATTTCACGATAAAATTAACAAAAAATTTGTAAATAAGAGCGCTCATTCATTAACTTTACGCTACTTTTTTGCAAAACTATTTGTTGGATACAATCAAAGAAAAATTTACTTCTTTAAACATAAAAAATTACATCTTTTACTTCACAAACGAAAATTTAGAATATCTTGTAAAAAAAAGGCAGACTGACAATATTTTAATTAATAGTAGCTATAACATGAAACATTTTTTAAACATTTGCGATTAAGATTATTAAAGTAAAGATTATTAAAGTGATGAAGATTATTAAAGTGAGTGATAAAGATATATGTATTTACTAGCTGGTGTCGAATAATCTCCTTCTTCGTCGACGATTTCGGCGTAATCTTCAGACAAAATAGTTCCTGTTTTAGCGTTCTTCTCCGCTGTACTATTAGTACCGTCTTGTCTATATTTCGGCGGCTGTGCATCTATAATTAAAATTATATTTTGTATTAGTTTATAAATAAAATAATATAATTTTAATAAAAATTCAAACATTTACAAAATAATACTTTTCCGATTTTACCTTTGCATGGACAGGGATAATTTTTCCACGATCCAGCTTGCGAATATAAAATAAAGAGACTTAACATATTGTGTCAAACGTTAATAAAAAAATGTTTATAGAGTGATTTAAAGATACAATGAAAATATTCCTCATGAAATTCAATAATTAAAAAAAAATTTCTATCTTTCTCCTTTAAATTATGAACATAATGATAAAATTCACAAAATATTAAAAGTAACTTAAGAAAATTTCTTAACTCTAAAAAAATAGAAGTAAAGAATTGAGAAGTAAGTTTATTTCCTTATTAAGAAAAATAGACATATAAGAAAAAATAAATAGAAGTCAATAGTTGTCCCTTTCTTCTACTAAATTGTTTATGAAAAATACATATGTATATGCATTTATACAGTCTATAATTATACATCTTAATAAATCAAATTATAAAAAAATTGAGATAAGACAAAGTACAAAAAATTGAGATAAGACAATGTAATAACAATATATGTACATAAAACATAACTCATTGATATATTAAAAATATATTATTAAATGAACGTTATCAAAAAGATGAAATCATCATGAGCTCATACCGAATTCATTGTACAATTTGCTTAATGCATCTGATGCTATTTTATTTAGAACGTATAGATTGTTCAGAGTACATAAAATAAATTCTTCATATTATATAAATTAGATTATCCTTCTTATCTGTAGAAAATTCATTGTACAATTTAACTATATTTCCCTGCATAAAATTATAAATAAAAGTTTACTAACATACAAAATGATTTAGATTTAACACAAAATATTTCAAAGATTGCAGTGTGTCTGAAAACTTCATCTTTATTTGGATATGATTTCATTATTTACTAATGTACACACAGATTTAGTGATTGCAAAAATTCAAAATAGATGAAACGACATCAAAACAAAAAAAATACCGGACTTCCAATGCAAGAGTTATTTTTAGCTTTTTATTTTATTTTAGCTTTAAAATTAATCTTTAACTCAATTTTGTGACTCTATTTTTAATAATGTATATAAATAATTATTCCGAATACTAATGGACTCTCCCATTATTTCAGATTTATTATTCTGCAAAATGTTGAAGACTTGTTCTTTTAAAACTTTCTATATCTTTCTAGGTTTTATTTCAGATATTAAACATTCCAATTGCTATCCAAAACATGGATTGCAACGTTTTGACATTTTGAACTCATCCAAGACTAAATTTCATTGTAGAAATTGGAAGAGACAAGTTGAATTTTTGAATATCATAATAAAAAAAGGATTCATTTCAAATTAGTATCACTTTTTCCGATAGATATCTTATTTTTGTCATTCTTCTTTTCTAGAGAAAAGAAACCATAATTGATTTAATTGATAGAACCTAGCACTTATATTCTATGTACTACCAGAAGAATTTTTGATCATGATATCAATATTTTATTAGATAATAAATTACCATTGAATTTTATCTTCTCAACAATTAGAAATAAATTACATTAAAGAAGGATGTTTATTTTGGCCTCCGGTTACATAATAAATTATATATCGTTGGAAAGATATAGTTTAGTAGAGTATAAATATCAAGGTCCAAATTTAATATTTTTGCTACAAGTGCAATTTAGTACAATGTAATTCAGATGGTGTTTTTGGGCAAACCCGAAAAGGGAGTTTTAGTCATTGATTCTCTCTGTCACCACGGAAAGGTGACTCCGCTGGAAAAGTGATTAACATTTACAAAAGCATCAATGATTTGATTCCTGTTGGAGACATAAATGCGTCGATGTGCATCGTATTCAGGAGATTCGAATACGTCAGTATATATGTTTTCCATGCGTCTATGAGCGCGTATGAACATATATGGATACTTCCGGTGAACTTTAGAGAGCTTACTTGTAAAATATTGAATTCGGACTTTGATATTCGTATTCTACTAGATCATACCTTTCCAACGATATACAACTTACCATAATGCTTGGGGCCAAACTTTAATAAAAAATGAACATCCTCCTTTAACAAATTGCAATATAAATATTGTGACTTGTGATAGTAACCTTATTAATGAGGAAGATAAAAACAGGTTTTTTATGATTTCTTTTGTATCAGGAATTTCTGAAAGATTCAAAAATTTTCTAATCATAATTTCTCAATAATAAGTATTATAAGACTTATATAGACTTAAAAAATCTCAATTTCTTAGATTTATCAGAATATATAAAAATGATCTTCCTTTATGTCTTATTTCAATATTGTAATAAATAAAATATTATATAAAGTTAATTGCAGTAATTGTAATGCATTTTATGTTGATCTGATAAATTATTAAAAATAAAATTATTAGAACATAAAAATTATATATATATATATATATATATATATATATATATATACACACAAATAGAAACACAATGAAGATTTATACATATGAAAATTTCAGTTACAATACTTTCGGTTACATTACTGATTCTAGAATTGATTTAAAATATTCAATTGGAATAATATTTTAATATCAGATAAAAAAAATCCTTTAAAAAAAAACTGATCTCTGAAATGATCTGTATAAACAAAAGCATAATTTGAATTTACAGAATTACATACAGGATGTTCAAAAAACTATTCAACCTTTATATAAATATTGCACACCATATTAAAAAAATCTTAGTACACATAAATCAAAAGCTCAATCATTTCTGAGATATAAACATTTTTGTATGTTATCATGATTGATTTTTTTTTATTTCTACGTGTCACATATAATGTTTACCTAAGCATAGTTCTTCGCTGATGATTTAGAAGAATTATCGTGATCGAATCTAGCTTGTCAAATAGTTTGACAGAGATTTGCAATTTTCAAGTTCATGATTCTAAGAAAAAGATGCCAAACGTGTATAGAAATGGCAAGACATTTTATGTCTGAAACACTTTCTGTAAATATTAATAAGATAAAGATTTGGATATATTATCTTTTTGTATCACATGCGACACATAGAAATCAATAAGTAAATCATGATATTAACATACAAAAATGTTTATATCTCAGAAATGATTGACCTTTCGACTTATGTTCCCTAAAATTTTTTTACTCGATATGGTGTGTACTATTTACTATATAATGTTGAGTTTTTTAACTGTAGAATTAGTTCAATCTATCTTAATTTTATTTAGCTACTTGGAGAATACATAATTTCTTTCTCTATAAATATGTTCGATTCCCTAAAGAATCTTTATTCATATTTCCGAACATTAGATATATTTTCGCAAGATCTTTAGTAATAATATGGATCTGAGTTCTTGAGTTTTCAATTTAATTTTGATCGCCAATAATTGTAAATTTTAAGCTTACATAATAATTTACAAATTTTCATTTTTAATATAATATATTATAAATATTATATTATTATAATATTATATTATTATATCTATATTATATCTGTAATAAGATAAATCAAAGTAAATGACTTAAATGCATCGTATTAAAAATGAACATTTATAAATTATTATGTAAGTTTAAATAATATATTATGGATATTGCTCTGCATTATTTTTTGGAAAATACCTGATATTTGATTTCTGTATTCTCATTTGATTATGCATTCCATTATTTTACCACCATGACTACTCGATTACAAATCATCGATTTTAATAAGTCTTAATTTTCAATATAATTTATTATTTTCTATTATGCAACAATATTTGTATTAATCTGAAGAATCTGTAGAAGATCCATAAGTAGAATCAAAACATTTACATTTGTATTTGTTATTAAATACATATAAAATTAACCTGTTTAGCGTTGGCTCTTATTTGGTTTTACTATAATTTTTTAATTAAAAATATAATTTGCGTATATTCTCTTTTAATAGTTCTAAGATAAATATTACGAATTTTTTTCTAATAATAATAATAATAATAATATCTTTATTTTCACCTTTCCTGTTCCATAACGAAGTGTTGCTACCTGTGACCAATCTACAATATCCATCGATTAAGTCCGCGAGACTTTCTGCTTGATCCAGACTGGAACAAGTAATACTAAGAGTCTCCGTGGCACCCGCAACCCTCAATTTAATACATGCTTTCGCATGTTCTTTGCAATCTGATACCAATGTTTGGATGGATTGTATTTGTGAAAATTCCGCCATCCTCGTTGGCTGTAATCGATATTTTACAGATATTACACTTCGAACAACTATATAATCGTAGAATTAGACTATTCTTATTTTAAAAACTATAGAATTATATTACAAAAATATATTATAAAATATACGCATGATGTGCAAACATACCACTGTTCCGCCTCGATGAGCCATATAAGATATACCTAAATCCGGTCCGATGACTAGTTCTACAGGTATTGACCAACTTGACTGCAAAGTTATAAAATAGAAGTTGAGTACGATTATAATAAATATAAAAAATAAATTTTAAAAACATAAATTTTACAATCTTCACATTTTCATCGCTCAGAAAATTATTTTATTTTTATTGAAGAAATATATATTAGATTTCCATATGGCCTACCCCCAAGGCGCATATAAATCTTTCTTGGTCGAATCGATAGTGTGCTCGTAGCAAATCGAAGAATTTGAACATGCACTCGAGTTCGGACAACGCCGCGACTTTTTTGAAGTGTTGCTGTATCAATTTTCGAAGTGCCTTCGGCTTCATCCCGTTCAGTACGGAGCGTGGCAAGAATTTGTGTAGACCAACCTGTGAAAAGAGCACACATCCTTTATTTATATATCTTATACAACGAAAAGGATGAATGAATACGAATATGCATGTCATGAAATTCAAGTTAGTGTCGTGGATAAGATTTACTATTTTAAGAAACTCTACCTCACGCTCGAGGTATTCCAAATTGCTCTTCTTGTCCAAAGCGATTTGCGGCATGTCTTTGAAAAAATAGCGAATCTCTAGGCAACAGAGCTGGACCGCGATATCCTGATCCAGAGAAGCGTGATTCGCGAGCAAATAATCATTTCGTACCTGAATATACACAGATAAATGTGATAATTCGCGATTTATCTTTGAAACATTAAACATCTCATTTGATCAGTCATTGATTGTACCTGATCGTAATAGTAATAAAACGTGACTTTGTCCTTCTCGTAAAGATCATTCAAGTTCTGAGGAAGATAACGCACTCGAAGCTCATATCTCCATTCGCAATGTGGATGCTTCCGCTCATATTTTTCTTGTACCTGAAACGGAAATACATCCAAGAAATTGCGAGAAATGTATCGGTATGTTAAATACGTGCCATCTAACTCATATACAAATATAATTGATAAATATAAATAAAATATAAATATAAATATAAAATATAAATAAATAAAATTGATCTATACCTGATACATTGTTGTATCCTGATGCAACCAATAACTCTCTCCGGATCCAGGATGGTGCAATCTCATCGCGTACAAATTTCGATAGTGTCTAGTACCAACAGCCAATCGACTAGTTACTAAAGAAATAATACCTCTAACGTCAATTGCATCGCCGAATTTGACAACGTTGAAGCCACCTAAATTATCATATCAAGAAACAAATAATAAAATTAATAAGCCCGCGTATCTTTTTTCTTTCCACATATATTTCGATTTTATTGATATTCATAGCGAAGTTTAAATTTACTCTTATTTATATCATAAAAAAAAGAAATTGATTAATAAAAATAAAAAAAATCTTTTCCTACAATATTGAAAGATATTTATTAGATTCGAAAAAATAAACGGAGACCGACTGGATTTGAACTCGGGATCCCTCGCCTATTACCAAGACATTTAGTCTGCACGACCGCGACAATTCCTCTCTGTTAACTGTTTATATTCCAAATCTCTTTCATGACCACTTACGATCGTCTAATTTCTTACAATATTTATTTTTTTTCCGATATAATATTCGTAAATAAAAAACCAAGTATTCAAACAGAAAAAAGTGCCAATATAATATTTTGATCAACGAGCAATTCTAGTAACAAATAAAAAAATCTCGCCGATTGTTCCCTTCAGTTTCTTGCTTAATATAATGGGATCTTTAACGAGATATTTTAGGTTGAACTAACTTACCGTTAGGGAGATGGACTTTTAAGGTCGCCTTATCCATAGGAGTGGGTGAGCCATGCGGCGGTGTGTTTCTGCCACCACCGCTGCTTTGGACACCTCCGACACCGCCGCCACCTCCATCTCCTGCTCCAGTGCTCATCCCCTCATGGCTATGTAAATAATAAAAAAAGAACTGACTCAATAAACTCTCTCGCACAATAATTAAGTATTATTTCGTAAGATCGCTCGTTACGATACGCTATACAAAATGTCGCGATCAATTAATGACGTTTGATAAAAGGAGCCTGTCTTCGAAATTTTTTATTGCGAGAAAGTTGACTCCGAGATCCCAATGTTTTTGAGTTTACCTTTCATGCTGGTGCACTATTTTAATCTTTAGAGAACGACAGAGCTCTTATAATTTTGATAGAAAGAAATATACAGAGTGTCCCAAAACTCCCGCATTTGAAGTACACTACACTGATTCTTTATGCTAAAAGAAACTTTTTCCTTTAGCAAAATTGCGTGCGACGAACAGTTTTTACAGTGGATCAGATTAAAAGTGACGAATGAGCGCGCGTATGTGCATAGCGGTCAGGGCTGGCGCGCGTTTCTCGGCCGGCGCAGTCTGGTACTTAATCTTTGACGACTTCATGTACTATATTGTTTAAAATATGATAAAAGTTAACAAAATAAATATTGTTTTCATCCTTTAACGTATTTATTTAATAAAAAAATTGTCTGATTTCGTAGCATTATCTCGAAATAAAAATAAATGTAAATACACTATGGTGTATGAACTGGGCATTCTATTAATTTAATTATTGCACAATTGCATATAACAAAAAAATATATTGAATTTAACGAATTATTTAGATAATTATAAAATTATATTATAAAAAAATCAATTTTTTACTTTTTGTGATTACGTATTCACGTAATTAATAAGTATTCATTAAATTCAGTATTTTTTTATTGTTATATTCAATTGCGCATACGACAATAAAAAAATAATTAAAATAATAGAATGCTCAGTTCACCTCAGTACACTATATAATTTACATTTATTTTTATTTTCAGATAATGCTACGAAATCAGACAATTTTTTTATTGAATTGTTACGTAAAGGTTGAATACAAATACTTATTTTGTTAACTTATATTATATTTTAAACAATACAATATGTGAAGAAGTCGTCAAAGATTAAGTCCCAGGCCTGAAGAATGCGCGCCGGCCCTGACCGCTACGCACATACGCGCGCTCATTCGTCACTTTTAATTGATTTAAAAACTGTAAAAACTCTCGTCG